TATAAAGAAATAATAAATATTTCATAACTATTTAAAACTATATTTTTTGCATGACGTTACCTTTGGAAAAACGAATTTTTGCAATTGTATGAAAATTTTTCGATTCAATCAAAAAGCAAAACGTTCTTGAGATATGACGAGATTGAGGTATTATCATTGGACCATTATTTCGAAGCTATTACTATGCAATTACTATGAAATTAACAAAAGTGGACAAAATGAAAGATGTTTTTATTTATTTATATCTAATATTAATATTCATTTCACCTTATTTTCCTCTTTCAATCATGATCCTTAAAATTATCAAAGCATATATATGGATAACCACCAGCTAAATTACCTTTCTATATAAAAAAGAAAAATTATTTTGCTATTATCAGCAATATTGACATGCACTTCAAATAAATGTACAGTGCTCAAAAAAAATAAATGGACCCACCGGAATAAATTTTAATCTTAAGTTCGGATCTTCATGTTCTAGAACTCATTCTTAATAGTTCGAGAGGGTGACATCAAATATACTAATTAATTAATCCAAACGATATTTAAAGTTAGGAAATTAGACATAAAAACGTTATCCGATTAAACATACCTTTTTTTGACGGATTCGGATTTCTGGTTTTAATAGTTTTTTCAGGAACTCGCTTGAAAATTAGGACCCTTTAATGTTAACTTTACTTTTTGCGCATTTCACTATATCCCAGTTTTTTTTTTAATATAATTTCATGCAAAAGGAAACTTTTAGTAAACATTTATTAATACTTTATTTAAGGAAAGTCGAGAAACTTAAAAAATGTAAGGTGTACAATTTTTTCATCATTTGCAATTTTAATTGTCAAAATACAAAATTCAAACAAAATCGGTCAAATAAGTCCTGAGAAATAAAAAAAAATAAAAAAAAAAAACTCTTATTTTTCGAAATTTGGTCCCCTAATTTCTTAATTTTTAGTGTCCATTTTTTGCGACTTAAAATTCGTAACTATGAAAGCAAATTTAAATCGTAGAGGGAAGAATGTTTCGCGTTGGTAAACAATAATCAATTTAACTGTGTGAAAGGTTATTCGTTACAGGCGTATGTCAATATGAAAAAAGCTTTGCCAGGGCGAAACAGAAATCTTGGTAGAAAGTATGCTTTCAGCTTTACAGAGGAACGAAAACATAGGCAGACAAACAGCAGCCATGTGTGGCAATTTTTTTTTAAAAATGGAAGTTAGTTAATATTCGTTTCGCGGACCCAAATTAAAAATTTGTAAGTTGAAAAATAATTACAAATTTAAGCTATATTGTTTGAATCTTATATTTTAAGCCGATGGACTTACTCTTTTTCTCAAATGGAGAAATTAGCATTTTGCCGGACATAGATGTTCACTTTAAAAGCATCTTTGAAAAGAAAAAGGAATCGAAGGAGAAATTTTAAAAGTCTCTTTGTATTTATTTACAATATATATCAACATCGAGTCCCCTGATTAAAATAGCCCTTTTTTTTGCTCGTATAATTTTACTATGTAGCAATTGAAAAAAATTCTAATTTCACAATTTTATGGGCAATAACTATTTCGAACTTCGTTCAAAACGGGGCATGATATCTTTAGATAGAATACGTGGATGCAAAAAATGTACTTAAAACTTTAGTTGCAGAACATTTAAATGATTCAAAAGCCAATCGATGCATATAAAAATAACATATTATATCAAAATGTTCTTTAAATGTTTTGTCAAATGTGCATGAAATTTCAAATTTTTATTAACGAATAATTTTTGCGTTATGAGAGTAAGAAGCGTCGAAATTTTTTGAAATAGCGGTTATTGCTACAACTATTTTTCTTCATTACAGAAGTAATTTTTACGCTTACAATGTATGGTAAATTGCACCATACAGTACAAAATATATCAATAACAGAAACAAAAAATAGATTTAAATTTACATTAAAAGGAATCTGCACATTATGGTATCAATATTAGTGATTTTAGATACTTAAAAACACAATTGAAAAAAATGTGCAGTATTGTGAGAAAAAAAATGTAAAGTATAAAATTCGTTTTAATATTTTGAATTAATTTGTTTGAGCACTCCCTGTCGGGGGAGACTTGACCCCTTGTCGGGCAGAGTCTGGCGCCATCCTTGTATCAAAGCAGATAAACGAAGTAAAGATACTCAATTTTTTTAAACTATACTATTGTGAAGTTAAAATCTAAATATTGCACTACGTAAGCAGTTTTTTTACCACTTCCGGCATGCATGTGCTAGCAAGGTGCATTTCATTTCTATTAAATAATGATGTGGACAATAGATAGCTGTATGAATCACGTTCCAACTCAATCACATCGAAAAAGAATATCCCTTTCTCGACATTTAAAAGGGGTTTAAAGAAGAAAAAAAAAAGGCCCTTCTGGGCATCGGGAACCCCATATTTTAAACAATCGTCATGGAGCTTCTATTTTTAAATACGATGTAGCTCATTTTCAAAGATCCGCCGCTTTTCTATTATGAAAAAAAATTAATTCGAAAATTGTAACAGTGAATACGTGAATAAGGTTAAGTCAGTAATGTAGGTGAATGCTACACGAAGCTAAATATATTTATATATAAGTTAAAAATATAGAGAGAACATGGAACAATTAAAGATTAATGAAAAGAGAAGAAAAAAAATTAAAAAATTATTGATATAAAAAAAATTTAAAAAACATATATTAAAAATTAAAAAACCGTATATATATATATATAGATATATATATATATATCTTACACGGCACCAAAAAAAGCCTCATTACAACTCCCCGAATGGCAACGTTAGAAAATCGACCAATGATGAACAACAAAAAAAAAATGCCTTTTATTAAACATGAAGAATTATTTAGAAATGTTTCACATGAGCCATTTTGTTATTTTAAAGCATTTTTTTTACGAATATCTTCATTTAGTAATCAACTTCTTATGCCTTTTTTGACAGTGAATATTTAATTTAAGAGATGCTAGAAAATTATCAAATACTTATGAATTTCGTTAAGTGTTTAATGCTCTTTTATTTTCTTCTAAGTAATGAAGTACATCGAAAATATGTTTCCTTCTTTTTGAAATAACATCACTATTTCAAGAGTGTACATTCTCATGTGAAAAGTGTGACCAAAGATATAAAATATCTATTATTCATAATGGCTAGCTTAAATATTATTTATGCGTGACTCTTAAATACGCAATTCTTCTTAACTGACAGTCACGTGGGCATTTAAAATTACGTCCCTTGACAGACCCTCGAAGATTTGTACCCATTAAATTCGAAAAATTAGTTGTTTAAGAAATCTGTTCATGCGCTAAACTAACGTAAAAAGTAGTTGCCAGGAATCGCCAAAAACTACAGTTTTTTTTTTGAAGTTATACTTCTTATGCGACTTCCAACAAGGTTGCGTTAAACGTTTAACGCTACATTTTTTATTGGCCAGGAAATCACGTGGTAGGATCCAGTTTTCCCTCATTCATTTCCACATTGTTTTGGTTCTCACTAGCATAAAAGTANAAAAATTCTACATACGCCACCGTATATATATATATATATATATATGCTTTATGTCTTCAAATGTTTAACTCGTCAATTTCGAATTTTGAAGTAACTAACTAGCCTATTGACGGATAACTAAATAGCCTTTATATTGATAATCATCAAAATAAAGAAAAAACCATTGTCCCTTTTTTGAAATTTCTAATTTGTTTCGGAGTTCTAATTAGTTTGCTCGAGCAAATTAAATTTTAAAATTTTCGGCGTTTTCTTATAGAATCTTGAAAGGTTAACAAAAAATAAATGTTTTTCTTTTCCTTTCTTTTCGACATTGTCTGGACGCATTGAATCCCAAATGTTCTCTTTTCATTATTAAAAAAAAAGAAGGAAAAAAAAGGATTATTTTAAAGAGTTTAGATTCCAGAATTTTCGATTCGATATTCGATGAGATTTGCTGACCAATAAATTATTTGTTTTTCAGTTCACGGATAGTGAAAAATTATGTCTTCATTTTAGCTGCGAATTTATTAATTTTTTATGTTTGTTTCTGAAATGGGTGCATTTATTATTTTATTTATTGACTAGAATTACAAAGTATATAATTGTTAAGACAGCATATATTGGTAGAAAAAAAATTAACGTGTTTTGAAAACATAAGTATCAAAATAGCATACATTTTTGAAGCAAATGAATTACATTCTTTTTTATACTTTATTCTATAAACAGTACGCTTTTTTTCATTATGGTTCAAATCTATTCCCTTAGCTGTTAGTAAATTTGATTTTATTACTAATTAGACTTTTAGAAATATGATTGTTTGTTTACTTTATATTAGACAAATCATAATTTTTTTTAGATGTCAACACTTGCACATTTTTAAGTTTTATCAGCACCTAAAACCACGAAGATTATTAGATACTTTATATACGTTTAAATTAGCTTAGTATAATGGTGCGCGAGAACATTTCAAATCAAATTTATTAAATAAGATAACAAGGTATAAATTTTTCCACCACTTTAATTATAAAGTTAAACTCTCTTGGGGGGATAAGAAAAGTTGGCAGCTATGTAATTTATTCTTCTTGAGAGCTGCTCTTGATGTTTTTTTTATTTTATGTCAGAAGATATACAGGCACTCATTTATGATTCAGTCAAATTGTTAATTTCGCATTCGGCAAAATTAGAATTTCCCTCTCCCAAAAATATAAGTTCGAGCAGCTCCCCTGCCCTTTGCATTCGTCTGGATACGACAATAGTCAATTTTATGAAAGTATGAGAAAAAATAGTGAAAATATATGCACATTTAACATCCCTATTATCACTACACTTGATAGCGATTAAGAAATCAATACGACAGTTATTCAAACACATTTTCTTTATGAAGCACATGATCAATGACGTATCATAATGGTGACGTAATTGCAGTCCTTTCGATATTATTTCTAAAATGTATTTTTTCCCTGGTAAATTAGGTTTAAGTGTAGTTCAAGTCAATCAAGTGTTTTCTGGAAGAAAAGTGTTATGGATACGTTAAATATGCTCGTAAAATGCAATTTAAATTACGATTTGTTTGTATTGTGACAGTTTTTGTTTGTTTTAGTATATTGCTACAAATTAAAACGCTGCCATGATAATAGAATGGGTTGAGACAGAAGAATTCATTCCAAGTTTCGACTTCCATTTTTATCTCATATTTCGGTTTTTATCCTCAATTACTGTAATTCCCTAACATTTTTTTATTTGTTTCATCCTCAATTAAAACATCTACTTGGTTATCGCTCACTTAAATAAAATGTCTTATGTCTTCCGCTCTTTTCACACATTTTTAAAGCCAATTATGTCAAATATACGGAATAATTGTTTTAACGGTATTAAAACTAAAAATTTTATAAAAGTTGTTGACAATGAGGATAAAAGTGAGTACTTGCATTTTGACCTTATAAAGTTTAAAATTTTTTAAAAAATTTTTTAGATTTTGTAGATTTATGTTTAATTTGAAAGGTTTGTTTTAAATGCTTACTGTCCATTTTCTTATATTCTATTCTATTATTGAATGCTCATCTATCTATAATGTTTATTGTATGTTCAAATTCGTAACTATATCAATTTCAGAGATTCAACTAAGCTATTTAATTAAAAGTTTTATTTATTGTTGAGGGTGGTATTATTAATTATTATTTTATGTTATATTCTGTATGTGAGCACAATCATCAGGCATATTTTATTTTCAATGATTCCATTTCTAATTTTGAATTAATGAATTTCTATTATTTAGTAATTAAGCACACTTGTCAAACTGAGGGAATTCAATACACTACATAAAAGTTTATTGTGATACATTTTTAATGAGATAAACTAATTTATAGCAAAGGTAACTGAAAAGCACATTGAGTTGAATAACACTTCATTAAAAATATTATTTAAAAATTTAAAATATCTTTTGTTGAAAAATGTATGTTAAAATTTTTATAGTATGCAATTTTCTGTATTTTTTATTTGCACATATTTTTTAGTTGGTTTTTAATGAACAGGGGTCTGTTTAGAAGAAATTTGGGTCCGTTAACGGACCCTTCACAAAATATCTTTTCATAAAAACGAACCCTTCACAAAATATTTTAACTTAAAAACGGACCCTTCACAAAATGATTTTTCTTATAATCGGACCTTTCACAAATTTGTTTATCTTCATTATTATTTTGTTAATCGACTAAACCCTTCTCAGGGCAGAAAACAAGAAAGATGAATGTAGACGAACTAAGTTTTGTCTTTGGCAGACGATTCTTCTATTATTCGTCCGAAATGAATATTCTACTTTCAGCAGTATAGGCTAAATACCAAATATTTGTATGTTGCATCTCTAATTTAGAAGCAGCAATTGTTGTTCATATTTAAAAATTTACATTTTTTTATTATAATTTTACAGTGCAGAGCATAATCTTGTATATCTTTACAATTTGAAAACTCCTTGAAAAAGTTTTTTTTTGCAATAACGGACCCTATTTTCACAAATTCATAAAAGCGGACCCTGGTTGAAAGAATGTGAGTAATTTTTTCACAATTTCACGAAAAACGGACCTTTCACAAAATGTCTGGACAGACCCCTGATGAAAGACAAATTAATTTTTACTTACTAAAGAAAAGCAATAAAAAAATATGCAATTTTTTTAGATTAAGGCAATGTGGTACTTCGTTCTGTACTTGTTTCTTTTTTAGATTAAGGCAATGTGGTACTTCTCGGCTAGCTGGTGCAAATGAAAAGTCGCTACAAAATGCAGACCTTTGCCAACTTTTTTATTTAATTTTTTAAATTTTTATTTATTTTTAAACGTTGAACAAAACAGATGTTCTCTAAAAAATTAAATAAAAGAAGAAGAAAAAGAAAAAATTAAAACACAATAAGTAGTTGAAGTTTTTGGCTAATTAAAAAGTACCAAAGATGCATAAAAAATTATTGGGTTACTTAGTAATTTACGTAATATGAAAGTAATCAGTACTTTCTCTAGAATCACATAATGTTGGTCGATTACCCTAAACTGGCAATAAAAGAAATTTTCAATGATAAACAGTAAAAATTTGTTAATAATGGAATATATTTTAAATTTTTTATTTATTTACTACTATTTATTTATTTTTTGTTTTCTTTACTAAAGTATTAACTTATTTTTTTGATCTTTGTGATTTCTAAACTTATAAATTATTGATATTTATTATTTATGAGGCAGAGTCAACTTCTTGAATGGTTGCCTATATTCACACAGGTGTTTGTTGGAGGATACTTTTTATTTTTTAGAGTTTGGCAGCACTAATAACGAAAGCACACAATTACCTGGAATTCATTTCTAGTACTGTTGGCAAAGTGAATTTTTCTTTTGTCAAATTTTGAAATGTCTTCTTTAGAGCAGCATGCAAACATTAAATTTTGCATTTTGCTCAAAAAATCCCCTGAGATGCTCGAAATGCCGAACAAAGTGTGTGTAGCAAAATGATGCTGATGCCATTAAAAAACGGATGTGTACGAATGGCATAAGCGTTTTTGTGAAGGTTACACAAACATCAAAGATGATCATCCGACTAGACATCCCTCCTTTTCCACCGCAGATAAAAACGTTGAGCATGTAGAAGAAATCGTGCATGCGGACAAACAAATAGTCATTGCTATTGCTTCTGAACTTTTGCATAGCAGTGTTCACAGCATTCTTTATGGAAGATTCAAATTTGGATTATGCTTGTTTGATCATAGTTCCAAAATTGTTATCATTTGAACAAAAATGAGTGTGAGTGAATGTGTGCCAGAATTTGATTGACACGGCTGATGAAGATCACAGCCTCTTGAAGAAAATTTTAACAGGTGAGGAAGCATTAGCTTTCCTTATGACCCTCAGACAAAATGCCAGCCATGGGGATGGAAAGCAAAAACATCAAGGAAAAAAAATTCTCACTTGGCCGAGATCCGAGGAAAGTGATGCTGAAGGGTTTATTGATTACGAGGGTGTCATTCACAGCGGATTTATTCCTAAAGGGTAAACTATCAATAAAGAATTTTATCTGAAGATCCACTACAAGAGGCAATCAGTTGAAAATGATCTGAAAAATGGGCAACAAAGGACTGCTTTCTTTTGTATGACAATACTCCACCACATCACGCTCTGATTGTGGAGAAGCACCTAAACAGACATAGTAGGTAAAAATCCGCTTGTGCTAGGTTGGAAGACCTAGCACCAGTGGACTTTACCCTTCTTCCTCGGTCGAAAATGAAATCGAAGGGATGTTGTGTTGTGGCTTCAGATGATTTGATCAAAAATGTGTAAAGTAAAATTATTGTTCTTGTTTTTGGTAATTTGTAATTGACTATTCCGGCTTTTTGACTCGACCTTGTATTTTCATGCCAGGTGTGGTGTGGCTAAATCAAAAGGGGGGGTGACTAACATTAAGTCAAATTAAGATTAAATAAAATTTAGATGCTAATTATGTAAAGGCCGAGAAGGTATAAATGGTGAACAGTGGAAGTGGGTGCAAATATTAAGGTAAGCGCAACAAAGGAGCATGCTGAAAAAAAAAAGGAAGAGAAAACAACTTATACTGTAAAATTACTCACCAAATACATTCTTTAAGATGCAAAATACTATTTATTTCATAATTGAAGGCATTATAAAAAAAACTGGACATGTTAGCAAACATGCCAACAAAAAGAAATCGGCTTCAGCCGAGCACAGAGACAAATATACAGCACAGTTGAAAACAAAGCAACGACTGACTATTTCTTCGTTATGAAGATAGGGGAGAAAACTCTCGCCAAAAAAATTAAACTTTTGCGAATAACCATTCNTTGCATAGCAGTGTTCACAGCATTCTTTATGAAGATTCAAATATGGATTATGCTTGTTTGATCATAGTTCCAAAATTGTTATCATTTGAACAAAAATAAGTGTGAGTGAACGTGTGCCAGAATTTGATTGACACGGCTGATGAAGATCACAGCCTCTTGAAGAAAATCTTAACAGGTGAGGAAGCATTAGCTTTCTTTACGACTCTCAGACAAAATGTCAGCCATGGGGATGGAAAACAAAAACATCAAGGAAAAAAAATTCTCACTTGGCCGAGATCCGAGGGAAAGTGATGCTGAAGGGTTTATTGATTATGAGGGTGTCATTCGCAGCGGATTTATTCCTAAAGGCTAAACTATCAATAAAGAATTTTATCTGAAGATCCACTACACGAGGCAATCAGTTGAAAATGATCTGAAAAATGGGCAACAAAGGATTGCTTTCTTTTGTATAACAATACTCCACCACATCACGCTCTGATTGTGGAGAAGCACCTAAACAGACATAGTAGGTAAAAATCCGCTTGTGCTAGGTTGGAAGAATAAGGGTATTCCAGAGTGGAACACCCTCCTTATTCTTTAAACCTAGCACCAGTGGACTTTAACCTTCTTCCTCGGCCGAAAATGAAATTGAAGGGATGTTGTGTTGTGGCTTCAGATGATTTGATCAAAAATGTGTAAAGTAAAATTATTGTTCTTGTTTTTGGTAATTTGTAATTGACTATTCCCGCTTTTTGACTCTACCTTGTATTTTCATGCCAGGCATTTTCAGTAGTAATGTATTTTAAGCAGGGTATCATCTGTTATACAGGAAATCCTTATAATAGATGAAATCATTATGGGAAGTTACAAAAGTTAATGGAAGATTCACAAATAATTTTGAAAATTTTGTGGCAATACAAATAGTATATAGATATTTATTTGCGTACTGCAATAACCTAAGTTACTTATGCTTATTCCCTCATTTTAATAAATTTTTGGGGGGCTTATCTTTTATTAAATTATTTTTACAATGTGGTTTTGGTATCCTTATCAATTATCTTTCATGGTATCCTTATCAATTTATCATCCAAGGAATATAAGACCATTTTACTTAAAAGAAATATGATTATCTCTAGTCTCTGAACTAATTTCTTGTTATTTTGCGATTAATTTATTTAATACAATTCATAAATAATAATTTTAATAATAAAATGTAAGTTATCTCTCAAGTTTTGAACAATTTGTATGCTAATTCTACTATTTAGAGAAATTTATAGATTTTTGAAAAAAATTAACAATTGAAAAAATTTGTGCCTTTACTAATCCTACTTATAATAAAATAAATAATACTGATAATTGCTTCTTTTTTTTTAAAATTCCAACTTTGGTGATAATGTAGTGGAAGGTCTTGAGGACATTGAACTATAAAAACAAAGCTTTACTTTTTATAGAATTTATTGTTACAAGGATCATTTTATATATTTGTGAATTTACCTACTAAGTATGACAGCGATATTAGTCTTGAACAGATTAACCATAAAATAGTTTTAATAAGCAAGTATCTAGAAGCATAAAAATATCCACTTGAGTATTTATTATTTGCAGAAAAAACAACTTACATTTTCTAAAGTAATAGAATTTATAACAAGCAAATTTATTAATTTCGGTTTTTAGCTTTAAAAATTGTAATCTCTTAACAAATAATAAAACAAATAATGTAAAAAGCTAGTTGTTTTTAGTTGAAGAAGCTTCTTTGTTGCAATTTTCATTGCTCGCATCTGAAAATATATTTTTTTTTACGAAAAACTGTGGTTTATAGAATTTTGTTGCATCCATATTCTACTGACTTTGCAGGGAAATAAATTAGCATCTGTGTTTAAGATGAGAAAAAAAATGATGAATTGAATGAGTTGTCTACTCAGAGATGACTTCCCGAGTGGCCGACTCAAAATCAATAACATCTTGCCGAATTGGCCTTTTTAAATTCTCAGCAAGTGTGTTTTGTTTTTTCCTAATGAAAAGCGCCCATTCTCGTATTAATGCACTTTTAAAGGGCGTCATGCAAAAAACATCTGCTGGCTGCGGATGACTTGTGCACCTTGTTATAATTAAAACTAAATCTGTGTCCAGACTTTTTAGTTTTTCAGAAAGCCTTATGAATTGAGGCTTGATCCAAGATAATTAATCTCCGAATGCCATCCTTACTCGGACCCCAAATTCTCATTAGTAGTCTACTTTCCAAAAAGGTTATACATTATTCATCCGTTGAGAAAGCAGGTAACCTTAACGTTATCTGCTATTTTTAGCTCTTTCAGCACACAAGGTGGGTTCAGTCTGTTTTTGTAATATCACATATGTGGGGAAAATCCAGCTGCAGTTGCTCCTAGTAAAACCATAAATCCTCTCTTTTTTACACCCGATGTTAGATATTTTTAAGGTGCTCTTTTCAACAGCATCAATTGTTCGAGCATAAGGGCTGTCAAACCTTACCATGATAAAGTATAAGATCTACGTTTCTTGTACTTTACGGCATATAACTATATTTTATTCTTTAAAAAAATATGGCTTAAATGATGCCATTTGTGGTTTCAAAATAATCATTTAGAAACTTCTGGCTTCCATTGGTTCCTCTTCCCATTGAAATGCCATAACTTTTTCCCCATTGTTTTATGCACATAGACAATGCCTTGAAATCTGATAGTCTAACAGTTGCTATTTTTAAAGCTTCATCTTCTAGCTTTCTATTGGATGCCATTTTCCCTTTCTTTTTCTAAAAATTCGAAGAGGGCATTGTCTAGATCAATGGTTACCAACTGGCGGCCTGCGAACCAAAATATATTAGTTGTCATTTTCTTTGCAGACAATTTTTGTTGAAAATTTATATGGGTTTTAAATGCCTTTACGTTTTATATCTTAACAATTTGATATCTGTTGCATATTAATTGTTTAATACAAAGGTGCACATTAAAGTTATTGTAGCTAGAATTTTTTAATATGCAACTATTTTTAAAAACCCATTTCTTATTTTAATTGTAATTCAATACTTTTGTTTTGTACAGCTTAATAAAAATCTGACCGTAATATATTTATAGTTCCTTCAAATTTAAAAGAGTCCTACATAAAGTTTTGATAAAGTTGCGGCCCGCCATTTGACTGGTGTTTTTAATTGCGACCCCCGGCCTCATGTAAGTTGGAAACCGCTGGTCTAGATCCTCAGATAGAGGTGTTCTGCCAGTGACTAATTTCTTCCATGTTTTTGTCTCATCTCCCACCCCACCTTAAGACTTTCCCCTTTCTTGTTGGTGAGTGTACATGTACATTCAACGCGACCTTGACCTACATGCGGCTTGGAGGAAATGTTGACCACATGTGCAGAGGATTGCAATCTGCTCTCTCTTCCCACCCCCACTTGACTGACTCCTGCATTGACACAATTGATCTGTTACCCAAGACAAATACATATTTGATATCTATAGACTGATTTTTTATTTGTGTCAATAACTCATATTTTCTCTTATTTTGTTTGGAGCGATAAATCCAAATATTCAATGGTTTGCAAAACTTGTAAATGAACCTAATAAAAGCGAACCAAAAAAAGCGTGTTGCAGGAAAAAAAATCAATTAGAAATATTTTCTTAAGTATGGTATAGGAAGATAAAACTTAAAAAAAAAAAATGTTTCTATCGGAAATTTAATTACCCATACTGGTCACGCAAAATGTTTGGTAGTAGTCAGAAATTTGAAAAATAAAGATTTAGCAGAGGCTGTGTTTGAATCAGATTATTATTTTTCTTTCTAGGAACTGCTTTAGTCATTATGCAGAAATTGCCTGTAAATAGTTTAAGTTTGGAGTTCATGGAAGAATTAAGATTGACAATCAAAGAGCTAGAAGAGAGAGAATTTAGAGGTGTGATTATAACTTCTGTAAGTAAGCATTTTTTCAATAATATAAATTTTAGATAATAAAAAGAATGTTATAGGCTTATCAAAGACAAGCATTATTTTTAAACAATAATATTTATTACCATTTATTTAACAAGCATTATTTTAAAACAATGTTTTTCAAAAAATTAGTGTAGACTTAAAAATATGCATTGAAAAGTCTTGCATTTGCACCAAATAACAACTATTTTACTAATTTCTTTGATGTTCAATAAAATCTGATAACTCTTGCTGAATAATTAAGAAAAATAATAACAATAAATCTTACTACCTTTTAAGTTTCAATCCAGTTACAATGAACTCTCGCTACTACAATATCCAGTACAATAACTCCCTTTATTACGATGATGTTTTGTAGTCCCAACGAACTTGTATATGAATTAATGTCCTGCTTCTCTCAATGTTACGACATTCTTTGAAGCAATGAGCCCCTGTAAAACTATTTTTTTTTCTTCAAAATTTCAACTGTATTTTCTCCATTTATTTTTGGTTTTCAATTATTGTAACAAATCTTGTTTTATCTTCTTTTGCCATTTCTTCCATCTTTTCTGGCAAAAGAAGACTCACTGCTGACCAACCCAAGAGCTTCCATTCTTAGAATTGCCTCCCTTATCTCTTAAGAAGTCACAGATTCCTCTCTGATTTCATTTCCTTCATGTTAAAAGCTGATCATGAGTCACAAATGACCACAAGCATCACATTAACACCTGAGAGAGAATTTTTTCCGTAATGGGTGGATGGAGCCCCATTCACAAACGAAAATTATTTTCATGCTTTGGACTCAATGCATGCTTTGTTGGTTGACTTGACAGTCAAAAAAATGAATAAACCAAAAATATCAGATTATTTTCAATAAAATCAGTTTTCAGGTATGTTTATGATCTTATTTTCTGAATTTATTTAAATTGTTTTTAATATTTAACCATAATTAACACTCTACAATTTAATTTATTGCATAATATGTAAGTACATAATATATAAATATATAATATATAAATAGTTAATACATATATTGCATTAAAATTTTTTTAAAAAAAATCTTATTGTGTTCCCAAAGTATATAGGCCCGCGATATAACAATATTATCCCTCTACATCAAAAAATTTATTTGGTCTCCAAAATATTGTTGCAGCAAGGTTTTACTGTATTGCATAGCTTTATAGGTGCTAAACACCAATAGTATTAAAATTTAGTCTTATTTTTTGATATTTATATTTGTTTGTATTAAAGTTGAGTTTCCCTCAAGTAAATTTTTTATTCTAACAAAATTTTTTATTGTTATTTCACATTAAAAAAATTCTCCACGTAAGAAGTAGTCGTCTCCTTATAACAAAATGTTTAGATGCTTATGTTTCTAATTTTTTTTATTTTTGGGCATATATCTTTTTCAATTTTTATTATTATGAAAGTTGGTATATAGGAATAGGTTGGATTATTAGAAGAGAATGAAAGAGTAACAAATATAACTCTAACCAACTTTTGTTTCATGTCCTACAGTTGATGAGATTTTAAACAGTGAAATGAACAACTAACATTGGCTTAAAAAATAACATTGATTCTAAAAATAAATACATGATACCGCCCAAACCATATTGGATTGAATTAGTCTGACCATTTGAAACCATTAACAGAGGTTTCCAAATTGAAGAAAAAATCTTAAAATGAATATGAATGAAAAATATTATTTCACTCTTAAAATGTGAAGATTGCTATGAAAAACTTTGCATAAATGTGTGTACTTTTACTTAAAAAACTTTTACATTTATTTCAGTAAATTAAAAGTTTATTTATTTAAGTAAAATCACACAGGCAAAAAATTTTGTAATAATTTTATAAATAAGTGTGGAAATCTCTTACCACTATATGATGAAATTATTTCTTCAGAAAATTTTGCAAATACAGCAAATAAATTTTGTTAAAAAGTGATTCCACTATATGTATATATTTTTCAGAATAGGAATTTTCCCCCATTGGTATATGCCTATATTTTTTGCAGTAGGTATGAATCTGGAAACATGCTTAATGTAAGATTTGTAAAGTGTTCATCGGTAAAGATTTCGATCATGCAGTATTGTATTTCCTCAAATTTAATAAGTTTTCCTTTATTTTTACTTATTTGTGTAAAGACGTCTTATTTCAAACAATAGATGAATCAGATTTAACATGTTTCCTAAAATTAAAAATCACTAACTAAATTATTTAATTTTGATGTGTTTAAAGTTACATACTCTTAGCCAATGTAGAGTTTTAGTTTAATTTTTAGTTTTAATGTTGGTTAATTTGAATAATTTGATATAAGATTGTTCTTAAGTAAGAAACTGCTTCAGAAGAAATAAGTTTCTCCCAACCCAAGTGGAAGATATAAAAGAAATTTTTGCAAAAATGAAAATGAAATATTAAATCAATTTTTTTAACAGTATAATTGCAATTATTTATTTCCAAGCTATTTAATTTCCAAATTCTATTTAATTAAGTAAGTGAAAAATAAAATTTAACTGGTGAAAAAAACAACCAAATTTAATAAAATTCTTAAAAAATTAAAACAACTGAAGTATTTTGCAAAAATAAGTACAAAATTTTGTAATTATATAAAGAACCATTTTAATTTAAATCAAAATTTATTACTGCAATTTAATTAACAAATCACATATTAAGCAAACACACTACTATGAGTCACATAATAATTTCATTATTTCCAATGGCGTACTAATTTTCATAATCAAATACTACTGAATCAAATACTTATAATTAGATATCCAACCGACTTTTAAGTAATAGGACATATAAATATTAAACTTATGTATAAAATTAAACAAAAGAGTATGAAAATTACTATTTTTTTTGTTGATAAAATTGACGAGAAAAACTTTTTTATCCTTCTTGTACTATATTAAATAATTTCTTAAAATGGAAGTTATTAAAATACTTATTGCTAAATAATTTATTGTTTTTTTTTTTTAGTTTGCTTCATTTGGGGTTTTTTTCCTTTCAGTGTTCTAGAAAAAACTTGCTTCTTTTGAACATACTAATAGTTTATGTTTTTAATTTAGGAATTAAAATATCACAATATTAATATCTCCCATTAATATTGAAACAAAACTGTACAATATTTGTGTGTTTCATTATTTTTATTTTTTTTAAAAATTTCTTTTTTAAATAAGTATGTAAAAATAAGTATGTTAAATAAGTATGTATACTTTAAAGGAGTGTAACGAAAACAAAAAACTTGGATCTTTGATTAGTTGATTTATTATGTTTTTCAGAGTGCACCAACAGTGTTTTCTGCTGGACTGGACCTCACAGAACTTTTTCACCCTGAAGAAAGCCGACTAAGGTCTTTTTGGAGGGCATTGCAAGAATTATGGAAAACTATTTATGTCTCACCTTTAATTACTATAGCTGCTGTAAATGTAAGAAATTAAATTATTGAGTATTTGAATAGTGAGTTCGAAAAATGATATAATCCTGAACAACTGTTGATTAGAAAAAAAAATTATCATTTTTCTAATAATCTTATTAATCTTATCATTTTTCTAAGGAAAATTATCATTTTTCTAATCACACATTTATTTAAAATTGCACGTTTTCCAAACTATGCTTTTTTACAATAAAATTATATTAAAGTTTTTCAACGAAATATTATCTTTCAGGGTGCATAGCATTTTTAAAAAGTGCTTAAAGGTGCTTATTTTCAATTTTCATTTTTTAAAAGCCGTTAAAGGTGCTTTTTTCATTGGGTGTTTTCAAAAAGGGCTTAGTTTTCCCCTTTTCAAAATGAGATTTTTCCTTTACTATGTTGATTTTCGCTTCAAATTATGCAAAAAGACGCAGTTCACATTGTTCTATTCAACGTTTTCATTATTAATTCAACCCCTCTCTATTTCGGCCTGTTGTCAGTCCGTAGCGTACAAAAACGTTTTACATGATTCAAAATGTCATCATTTTTGACAATTGTCAAATGCAAAAAGTTTTTTTTTTTTGTCATGGCGGTTAAAGCAAGATAAAACCGTTTATTGTCAAAAACATTCCAACCCTGCCTAATTATGACGTTTTTTTCAAGTACTTAAAAATATTTTTTGAGTGCTTAAATGGTGCTTATTTTTGTCGAATAATTTGGCTACGCACCCTGTCTTTTAAATGATAAATAATTAAAATGTAATGTACTAATTGTTGGAAAGCAATATCTGAAGTTCATGAATATTGTTAAATACTATCAGAATTAAATCACGTTTTTTTTTAAAACTTGCTCACACTAAATTTATCTATCATAGTTATTTTAAGTTATTACTGTTTATTTTAAAACTATAATCTATTCATATCTTTTATTTACTTACATATTTTACTTCTGATACTCTATTTATGGATTGAAATATATATATTTGCATTTTTGTGCATTATAATTTATTCATATTACTAATCTACATTGTATAATTTTTGGTTTTAAAGCTTTATTGAAACAGAACATTTAATTTTGAGTAGACAACCTCTTGCTATTTTATTTTGTTCTTAAATTAATTGATAATTATATTAATTATAACACAAATTAATTCATTTCAATTCTACACATAATTTCAATCCTGTTCCTAAGTTTAAATGTGTAATAATATCTTTAGATATAAGTTAACTCATATATGATATTCAATTTTGAATTTACAAAATTTCTTTAAAAAAAAAATGAAACTTTTACTTTTAGACAAACAACCTCTGCTACCATTCTTTCTGTATTTTTTCACGTGTTTTATTACTCTGATTACAATTTGTTTTCTATTTCTAATGATTTTACAACATAATAGTTATAAAAAATTATTTTTAATGCAGTGAAACCTCTGTTAAGCGGACATTCATGGGATGAAATTTTTTTTTTTGTTTACGAAAGTTATCCCTTTCTGGAAAAGGTACATTAATAATGAAGGCTGACACCATTTATTGTTTTATATAGTTGCAATCATAAGAAATAATTATATAATCTTTAATAACAATTTGGATTGATATTTATTTAAACTTAACAAAATTATAATATTTTCAGTACAAAAAGAATATATGCAGAAATTGTTATCTATGCACATGCCTTTGTTTTATATTTATCTAGTTGAAAAGAAAGGCATGATAGAAGTTTGTCTTAAGTGGCTGCTTACAATATCTTCATGGTACATTTTAAAATAATTTAGCATTTTTACGAAAATTTCATCCGATTTGGATAGATAAAAATGTTGCAGTTGTTCAATATGAGTTTGAGCATCACGTGAGGTTTTCACTTTTTTTTCCTGAGTATTAGTTTCTTCATATAAAATTTTTTTCTTGATTTTTAAATGGTTTAAACTGAGCTCTTTTATAATTTAATAGTAATTTTATTCTGGGTGTCAATTATTTTGATCAAATTATTAAAAACATATATTTAAGTCACTATTTTCATCACTTGCTTTTTATTAAAAAGAAATCATATTTTTTAAAATCATTAAAAGAATAAAATCAATAATTAAATAATGTTTATGTTTTTAAAAAGATTTTGAGTAGGAAAAGTAAAAGTAGTATTTTTCCAAAATAATAAAATATTTTTAATGCACATTTTATATTTACTAATATGTATGTATACAGACTTTTTGAAAACAATCCAAAGATAAATAATCAAAATATGCAGATGATAAATATTATTAATGTACAATTTATATAATCTTCAACTGAACTGACAGAGAAAATAGGTAATCAATAATATCAATTTCGTCTTTTCTGCCACACTTAATATTATTTTTCTATTACAAGTACAGAATATAATTTTGAACTTAAATGTGTTAGATTTCTCTTTTTAGAAATAGTATTGCAAAGTTGCATCAATTGTAAAGATTTCAATACTTTATTCAAATATTTAATTTTCGACAATTTTTTTAAAAAAAAGAATATGATTTTAATAAAAAATATGATTATTTATTTATTTATTTCATATTTTTAAATCCCGATTATCTTACTGTCTGTATGAAATTTTTTTTTCTCTTTTTGCACATTTATTTGTAAAATTTTAACATTTATTAAAATAAAGTTTCCAAACAGGTTAAATTTCCTGAACAAGGTTTATTCAATTTTTTTTCTTAAAAATAGAAACTGTTTATCTACGCTAACTCTTGCATTTTTTTCCTAACGACATCTTAAAAATGTGATTTTAAAGTTGTTTAAGATATTTTTATTTCATTATTTTATTCTCAATCTAGATTAGAAATAGCTGAATAATCTTTAAAATTACAAAATGTTGCATTTTGGCAGATTTATTTTGAGACAAAACTGCATTAATTTTATGGTTTTTATTTATTTGAAAATTTAAGGTCCTTTTACAAAAAAGTTTTATTCTTTTGAATTGCTCTTATAATATTCAATATTTATTGTATTTATTTTTGTGACAAGAAAGTTATTACAAGTAGTTAAATTAATTATTACGAAAATTAAAATGTATTAACTTTTTTTATTTAGGGGCATGCACCTGCAGGTGGATGTTTGTTATCGCTTAGCTGTGATTACAGTATAATGGTCAAGGCTGAAAACGCAAAGATTGGATTACCTGCAACTAGAATCGTATGTAAAATATTTTGTTTATTGTATCACACCAATGAAGTGTTTAGCAATTTTAATTACAAATTTATAATACTAACTACTTTTTCTTTTATTTCAGGGTATTTTTGCTCCAAAGTGGTTAGTTTCTTTTACCATTGTTAATATATGTGTATTTTAATTCCTATGAAAATGTAACTTTAATTATTCTGTCGATATACGTGTTTTGCTAAAACATTATTTTTGTTTGATTAATTAAAAATCATCTAGAACTGATAGTCTATGCATGTTTGTTAAATAATAATACCGTAATTTCGCAGAGAAATGCCGCTCTGGTATATAAGCTGCGCCCTAAAAAATCATCAAAAAAAAGTTTTTCACTGGATACGCCGCACCATCAGACATGCCACGCCAAATTTAACTATACTAATGCAGGTATTAATTACAGAATTAACACATGCTCTAAATATGCATATATTTATAATTTAAATGGTTAAATAAAAAGCAATAAAAGTATATTGAATATACAAAGAAATAAAAACAATCCTAATATATAAAATAGATTTCAATAAGTAAAATTACGCATTTTCTAATTTTAATTTGAAGCACAAATGTTTAATGGAAGTAAAGAAAACCAAGGATGATAAACTATCCAAAAAGTAATTATTACTTTTTATAACACCTGTTTAGTGTTAAATACATGATATAGTTTTTCATTTATAACCTGATCTTTAATTTTAATATTTTTTATTTGGTCTCTACTTCTCCTGCAGTAAGTAAAGCCTATGATTAGACATGCATGACTTTCATGTGTAACAAATACAAACTGTAATAATTTTGTAAATTTATTTTTAGGTTTGCATCTATGTATATAAATGCCTTAGGATTTCGGAGGGCAGAACATGGGGTAAAATTAGGCTTAGTGTTTTCTCCTGAAGAAGCTTTGAGATATAATATTGTAGATGAGTTAGTAGACTCTGTTGCTGATTTATTACCTAAAGCTGAACAGGAAATGGATGATTGGTTGAAAATTCCGAGTAAGTCTATTTTTTCAATTATTTTTCTAATTTAAAAACCAAATAACTTATTTAACTTTTTTGACTAAATGTTTTGAACTGAGAATCTCATCACTCAGAGATTCATCAATGAATTTTAATTTTTTTTTGTACTTGACTTAGTTTATGGCATCAATCAGCTTATTTAGAATAATTAACATTTATATTTGGCCCTGATTAAAAAATTTTTTCTATGTGGTGATGTTTTAAAATAATATTAATAAAGTTATAATATATTTAAATAATAATAGTTAAAACCAAATGAAATATTATTTTTGTTTTGTTTTTAGAAAGTAATTTAGTGTTTCTGTTTCTTATTGTTAAACTATTTTAAAAGCTTTTTTTTCTTTTTAAATTTTATTTTTATATTACTGCACTATATTTTGATGACTGAATATTTTAATAAATATTTAAGTAAATTTTCCAGTATTTCATTTTTGTCTGTGTCAAGTTAAAATAAACTAATTATGACAAAACAAATCCTACTTTTTTCAATAAAAGAAACCTAGCAATTATAAAATTAGATAAAATTTCTAATTTCTTGAGAATTATTAGAAATACTAAAGTATTATGTTTTTATCTTAATATATACATGTATTATTACAAAAAAATGTAAATTAATTTTAGTAGTTACCTAAATTTTAAAACTTTTACTTCAGATGTAATATATAAAGTTACGACACTTTAAAATTTGGATGTTGAGTAACTTTTTACAAATTATTTGGGGGGAAAATGGAGGAGTGAGGAAGGATTTATTGTTTTATATTATTTATGCTATAAGATTTATTGTTATTTTATAAGATTTATTGTTTTAATATTATTTATGCAACTTTTTTTTGTTTTTAAATCTTAACACTTTTCACTTGTCAACCACTACAATAGGTCAAAATCTTTTTTTCTCAACATATGCAACAAAATAATAATAATAATAATTCTGAAGTTAAAAGCTAAAACTATATTTTGTTATCCTTTTTTTTCAGAATCAGCTTGGTATAAAGCAAAATTGAACTTTCGAAAATCTGAGGTTGATGACTTGAATAGATATCAAGAAGAAGAAATTGAAGAAGTTGTTAAACTTATTTATCTAGAGGAAACTCAAAATAATTTAGCCAAATACTTTGAAAATTTGAAGCATAAAAGTCAGTGAATTTAATTAGATTCATTTTAATCGGATTAAGAATTTGAAATGCTTTTAGTATGAAATTTGAAGTGTAAAAGTTTGTGGATTTAATTATAGATTACCTGCAAAATGATTATGAAGTATGTAATGTAATATTTTAAAAACAAGAAAATAAGAGTACTTTTATTTAACTTAACTTATAAACTTATTCTATTGATGTATGATTTTTCATAAATTTAAAAAAAATTTATTGTCTCATTGTTTACAAAAATATCAAACTAGCCTAAAAATTTATTCTATCCAGGTTTTAGATTCATGTTAATTAAAATTATTTTTTATTATTGTAACTCTGGCCATTGGAAATAAAAAAAAGTATTTGCTATTGTTATTAAGAAATGTAAATTAAGTTGAAAGAAAGCTTCACTCAAATAAAAAGTAATAGGACATTTTATCCTTTCTTATTATTATGTTAAATAAATAACTGGTAGTAAACCCATTTATTTCTAAGTTGCTTTCGGGAGGAGTAAAATATTTGTGACTACCATGGATTATTATTATTATTTATATTTTTTGAAAAAGAACTTGTTTAAAGTGTCTTTTGTGATTAATGATTTTGTATATTTTATTTTAATAACATAATAAATATTTTTAAAAATTTTCTTGTTTAATAAATAAATTGTTTGCTGTTGAAGAACAGATTTTTTTTTTTAAATTTTTTTATTTTTAAAAATGCATTTTATTTTTACATAGTTGTGTTAAGAAATATAATGCCAAAGTTTAGAATCTTTCAAAAATTATTTTTATAGTCTATGTTAAAAACAAAAATCGCATATTATTTTTATAAAATTTTTGTTTAGAATTCCTTCGTGTCATATTTTTGTGCAAAGTGTGTTTGATTGTTGTAAACTGTTATGCATATTGAGAAAACAGATGCTGTTGGTCAATTGGTTAATCAATGTTTTCATTTTATACATGAACAGTTTGAATATTCATCAAGTGCATTATTTTGCCAACTGTGATTCAGGTTATAATATATGAAATCATAGTGTTGTATGAATTTATTTGTTAATGACAAGTGTTTTGCATAAAGAAAAAATTTTAAAATATAAAATAGAATTTTTTTTAAGAATTTTTTATAAATTTCAAAAATAAGTTTATATTTTTATTTATGGGTGTAGTTAATTTTAAAATAGAATTATATTCAAAGAATCAGTCCATATGTCCAAAATTATTTTTAGCATTTTTGATTTATGAAAAACATGTGATAAACAATATAGACAATTTAATAGTTAAAGATTGAAATCCCTTTTTGTTTCCCTACTCTTTCATTTAAGTACATTAATTTGTTATATATATTTTTAAATCATGCTTCATTTTGTGCGATAGTGTCAAGAAATATAACCAGAGTGATTTTTTTTAATTTCAAAAATTGATTAAAAGCTTAAAAAATTATCAAGAACCTGAAATGATGGTCATGAAATCATTATACAAGTGTTTTTTTTAATAGTATTTTTTTATCTGTATAAATTTACTTTATTTAAATTACACTATATATATATATATATTTATAAAACCGGAAAACGAAAAAACCGGAACGAAATTCAATAAATTTCCCCCCCATTTTTTTAAAAAAAAAAAAATTTTTTTTTCCTCATAAGATTTTAGGATTTTTCTTTCTTTTTTGAAAGATGTTTACTTTACCATCATTTTTGAAATAATCATTAGTGTATTACTTCATCATATTTTCTTCTTTTTAAGATTATTTCCAATTTTTTTTTTAGTTGGGTTTAACAATAAAAAAAACCGGCTTTTTGTAGCGATTCAGAAAACTGGAAAAATTAGTTATCCGGAATGGCGATGGTCCCGATCGTTCCGGATAATCGGTTCCCTACTGTATATATATATGTATAAATATATATATGCTAATAAAAATTGTATTTAATTAGCAACAATTATATCAAGTAGAAAATAGTTTTAAGCAGAAAAAAACAACTACAGTACACTCTCGATTATCCATGCACGGACTATCCGGTTTGCGGATTATCCGTGCTCATTCCGGAGTCACAAAAAATATAAAGAGAAACATTTTCAAAATTAAAAAACTTTGATTCATGAAGTTATAACACTACAAAATTTCTGGAAGCAATATTTGTTATTGGATTACAGTATATGGAATATCAGCAGCATGGTCAAGGGTAAAATCGTCTATGTTATCACGATCTTGGAGAGAGATCATACCGCTTGATNTATTCGTTATTGGATTACAGTATATGGAATATTAGCAGCATGGTCAAGGGTAAAATCGTCTATGTTATCACGATCTTGGAGAGAGATCATACCGCTTGATGAACAATCTTCTTCAGATGCTCAAGAAAAATATGATAATAGTATTTTCAAACAAGCAAAAGGAATCTAAGGTTTCGAGATTCTTGAGGAAGAAAATTTAGAAGATTGGTTTCCAGTATTTGACAGATGAAGACATCGTTATGTTGTTAAATCAAACAGTGTTGATAGTAACTGATGCAGAAGATGTAGTAAATGAGGGAAATACAATTTCTCATACTGCTGCTCTGTGGAAACTTTATTAGATTATATGGGAAGATTTGATTCCGGTGACATTACTACGGTTCGTAAAATATGTGTATCGATAAATGGCGAAGACGCATTACACATTTTTTTTAAAAGGAAAATCCCTAGTTTGATGTTTTACAGCATGCAAATGTGAGTAATTTTTATATTTTTTGTACTGATATAGATTTTTTCTTTAATAAAAGAAGTTTTCGGAATATCCGTGTTTCTCGATTGTCCGTACGACCTGTCCCGGTGATTAGCCCGGATAATCGGGAGTGCACTGTATATTCACATTTCTTTTAATGTTTTATTTTATCTAATAACTCTTATCTTTGAGGAATTTTTATACATACTCATTAATATAAAAAATATTGTACAATTAGTCTTAGTTTTCATTTTATTGAATCTGCATGTTTTTTTTTTATATATGAGTATATATGTTCACACTATCATGCACATAGTCAGCCCGTGTATTATCAATAAAAGTAAAACATGCGTATAGAATGATTAAATTTATTGATAACATGTTTAGAAAAGTATTTTAATAAATTAGTAAGAAGAGTAACAAGTTGAAATAACATATATATATGATTTTATATTTTACATTCGCCAATATGATCCCCATTATTAGGGAATTTTTAATTTTGCTATTTTATCGACTGTTTTTTTTCTTCAGATAAAATTTGAATCTTTGCATGCAGCTCAGTTGAATATTTATTACTTTTTTTCTTATTTTGGGTCATGTAAAAACAAATTCTACTAAATTAAATATCATTATTGAATGTAGTATACTTATAAAATTCCAATTAGGATTTATGCAAAACCTGTACTTATTAGTTAAAATTGTATTTTAACTAAATATTATTGTTATTATTATCGAGAAAAGAATTCACCTAATACTTATTTTGATGTATTGGAGGACCACTAAACATGAAATACGTTATTTATTTAATACCTATCTGTTATGAAAATTGTCTTTGACTAAAGTGACTTTCAAAGCACTGATCTTGTTTTCTTGTTGATGAAAATACTAAGCGAGTTTAGAAATAGAATCATATATTATTTTGCTCTGATCAACAATTTATAATATTGAGTTTGACCAAAGATTTTAGCAGCACGCTAGCGTGTATATATGTACTCTTATTTTATAACTATCGTTGAGCAGCCGACCCAATATTGGGTTTTTATCTACCAGTGTTCAACTTCATAGCCTTGTAATTTTGAACCCAATCCAGGAGACAAAGGAACTCCTGGATCAAATATTGAGATAAATTTGCTTTTGTGGAAGACTTTTTGATGGAACTAACCCGCATTTGGGTTACATGGAGAGGTATACCTCCCACAGTTAGTCTGATGGCAAGAAAGGACTCAAACCTGTGATCCATCTACCATTGAAGATATGTTACGTCAATGAATTTTAGTTGTATTCTTTTTTTTTGATGAAATGTTTTTTTTTTTTTCATTTTGAAAATTGTAAGAAACTGACTCATGTCAAAAACTTGCCAACTCTAACTGTATCCAAAGAAGAAAAGAATATTTAGTCATTTAATCTAGTCTTTTTTTTCTTTTAATGGCCTTTTTTTCTTTTAATTATGTATTCACATTTGTGTTTCAAAATTAATTGCAATTAATTAATAAATTGTTTCCAAATTTAACAATTATTGTGGTACAATCATGTAAAAATACGTAAAATGTATAATTATTTCTGTTAAAAGGGAGATTATGTTCAAAATTTTAAGAAAATTGTTTTAGAAATTGTATAGACTAATTTAATTTTTTTAACCAAACATAACAGTTCTCTCGAATCATTTAAACTGATAATCTCTATATAGTATACTTTTGTACTTTAATGGAGTCCTTTTATATGTGATGTCTAAGTACTAACTAATTTTATCTATTGCGCTTGACTTTGGATGCACCTATTCAGTATTTTAACAATTATTTAACACTAAATTACTTCTTTTATCTCCCTTAAGTTGATTCTAGGGAAAACATGAATTTTGCAGATCAAGAAATAAAACTTTTAGACTGTAATCAATACATGTGGACTAGATTAACAAATTTAAAATGTTAAGAAAATATTAGAATCATACTTTGATGTTTGAAAACATATAAAAGAAATTATTTTAATTAATTTAAGAAGAATAAAAACCTAAGATTATTATGCTGTTATAAGTATGAAATTGATAAAAAAGAACATCTTGTATTTAAGGCCATAGTAGCCCAGTGGTTAGAGAATTGGACTCTGGCCCATTGGGACAGGGGTTCGATCCTAGACTTCACTAAGACCCACCGTGTACATGCAATATATGTGCTTGTAAAATCTGTGGAACCGAAAGTCCTGAGGTCAGTCACTGAGCAGTATCATGTGCACAAGGATCTGGAAAAAATTTTCTTCCCCTTCAGATCTATGTCTAAATTGAGGAAGCAACCTCACAAATTTTGATGGCATGTCTTCGGATCATTCTCAGGGATGTTTTCCAGACCGTTGATAATTGCCCATTGTGGAGCTCTAGTACCTTCCTATCTCTTCAATTTAAAAATATTTTTTTAACTGATTTTTTTTCAATTTTTGCCATTACTATGGTGAAAATTAGTGATGTACCAAAAATATTAAAAAATAGATAAATTGCGATTTTGAAAATAAATTTTAATCTATGTACAAAATGCACAGTGTCAATGGAATTTTCATACCATACTATTTTAATTGCTTTTACCTATCTAAAATTATAACTTTTGTGTAGTGAAGTTTTATAAAGATGTTAGACATTTATGCCATATTATGTTTCAGATTTTCTATTTTCTCATTTTAAACTATTAGAATGATATATTGTTGACTTGCTTGTAATTTTAAAGAGTTGATATGAATCTATTTTTTATTATTCGTTTAATCAATAATGCAGTTATATTACAATAAGTGCCAGATTTTCTATTGTATTTTCTCTATATCTGTGTTATTTACTGAAACAAATTTTTAATTTGTTACATTTTGAAATAAATTATTTTGTATTATGTTTGCATTGAATTATTTTTTCCACAATTCAAAAATTACTCAAAGATGCTGTGAATTTCATTTCACGATTCAAATGGTGATTTTGTTCAAATTTTTCATCTTTGACTAAATTCAAATACTAATAAGATTTTTTTCTTCAGAGAATTTAATGATTGATAGCACATATTTAAAGATTACAACTAATATGTTAACAATTTGAGTAATTTATAGCAGTGCAAAATTTTATAAACCATATTATGTGAAATCAGCTTGTTATTTACCTATTCCTTTCTGAAAAATTATTTGTGTCAATAAATATTTAAAAAGTGAATACATGGAAACCCTAAGTTTGCTTAATATATAATAATGGTGGAAAAGTTGACATGTTTTAAGCACTAAGGAAAAATAGGCACCCATTTTCAAGACTCGCTAGGCCTGAATGAAAAAAACAAAATAGATATGAAAAGAAATTGCAAATTTTCCAACAAAAAAAAGATGAGAAAAAACAAACGAATTATTGAATCACCATAGTTTGAGGCAAATCTGGACAGAATGTGTAATGCATCATTTCCTGATTATGCATACTGCTTAGTATGTTATTCTGAAATATATTTTAACGCTAGCATTTTATTTATTGTGTTTTAACCTTTTAGATTCGCTTGTCATTTGATTTAAGGAATTTATTGACAGTTATGATGTTTTAATTTTTTTTTAATAATTATATAATTGTAAAGACTGCTTTTTTTTTTTACAATTAGAAATATATGATTTTATTCATTATTTAAAAGTCTGCGATGAATCTGCAAATGGTCAATGAAATTTAATTTAAATATTTGATTTTATTTGTAATTTTGTGGAGACAATCTAATTACAGTTAATCTAATTTTAGAAAAAATTGTTTACAGGGAAAGTAAGTTTAGTTGAATCAGTCAGAACCAGACAGTTATACTGCATAATATTTCTTTAATTTTGCGTTTAAACACGTTAGCATGTATAAAAAAAATAACTTTTACGTATTTGTCTGCTTACAGCAAAATAAGACTACTTGCTTCTTTGCACATAATAAAATATACGCTTTATTTTTAATATTTTTTTACAAAGATTCTAAACAAGTGTATATAAAAAAAGAACTAGATAACAGTGTGTATATAGGGTATTGTACAGCAAATTATTTACAGAATGAAATAACACAATGACATAACAAACGTGTGTGTGCTTAGAATCTAAATTACCACATACTGACAGAAATACAAAAAAAAAAAAACTTTGTTTATGGCAACACAAATGCACACAGGAAGGGTTATTTTTTCCCCACTGCAAGAAATCTAGCTCCAGACGTAGATAATTTTTCATTTTTTTAAGCTTACTTGCATGGGTAATATTCTGATTATACATGTATTTACAAGGGTAATGTATAATCCATTCAAGAAAGCAAATATAAACAAAGAGATTTACTGATAAAGATTAATAGCTACTGCTGTTTACGCCTATTTGTATGCAATAATTATAATTTATGTTATAAATTGTCATTATTAATACATGCAGTTAAACACAAAAAAATGAATTTACTAATAATTAGTTCAGGATAACAAAAAATAGTATAATGTGGTATTTTGGGTAATATAGTGATAAGCTACACTTTTCTGTAACGTGACATTTAATCTTTTCTATAAAATGTTTCTTGAAAATTGTTTCCAAATAACTACTTTGCAGGTTAGTTTGCTGTTTCTCACCAAAAATGCTTTTACTTGTTAATGTGGCTCATCATTATATAGTTCCAATCCACACCAATCATTTTGATATTAGTCTGCGGCGTAACCATATATACATCTATATATGCATACCACTGATTAGTATTTCTTAAATATATTCACTAAATTTTATATGTTCTAATATGGCAAGACAAGCTTCACAAGAGATAACCGCCTATCAAAAAACTTTTCTTTTTACAAAACTTCCAAAGAATTTCAATTTTCTAGACATGAACATATATCACAGCTTGCTATAGCACATTTTATTAAGCCACTGATATCAGTTTGTTTTTATAGGCATCATAGTGATTTTTAAAGCAAAAGTAAATATCAACAAGCTCTTATGCAATACCAGTTGTCGATTATAGCCAGTTTGCAACACAGGAAAGGCACTAAGTGGCTTAAATAATTTCAGCTTTTTTACATTGACACAGTTTTTTCTGCAGTTTTATTTTCGTAAGAAAAAATGTATACATATATTTATCTCAATTTCATGATTAATAAATCTGTAAGAATCTAAAAACATAAATTAGCAAATTTACTCTCACACAAACATACAGGTAACAGAATACACTCTATAAAATAACCAAATCTTTTGAAATATAAAATGTATAAATTATTTTCATTCAAAATAGTTTAATTTNTTATGAAACAGTAAAGAGTAGCAAATTTACTCTCACACAAACATACAGGTGACAACTTTAGTTAAAAGGTAACAGAATATACTCTATAAAATAACCAAATCTTTTGAAATATAAAATGTATAAATTATTTTCATTCAAAATAGTTTAATTTAAAATCATTTATTATATTAAGAATAAAAACATGAAGATTTGATTACAAAAAAAGTAATTTTTATCTAGTAAACATGAAACTATATTCCATATTTAATAGAGTGTAAAAAATTTTTTTTCATCCACTTAATCAATTTGATTTTTTTATTACACTCAGTCACGATTTTGTTATACATTTAAAAATTTCTTTTAAAAGTGTAAACTGAAACTTATGAAAATAATAAATATACAGCATATTTTCAATTAATGCACATGTAGATAAAACTAACCTTTACATCTTTAAATGGCATTTTATCAAAACATCTATAACTCATTTTAACTTCTCTTGATTTTTTTTTAAAATTAACAGTATGTTGTTGTTAATTTACGTCGCCCTAGAGCTGCACAATGGGCTATTGGCGACGGTGTGGGAAACATCCCGGAGGATGATCCGAAGACATGCCATCACAATTTTGATCCTCTGCGGAGGGGATGGCACCCCCGCTTCGGTAGCCCGACGACATGCGCGCGAAGTCGAGCACTTTACGGTAGCACAGTTTAACGAGGACCAATACCGCACACCCTCGGTCCCTACGCAGACTGATAAGTCAAGTGGTCACCCACCCGCCCACTGATGATGCTTGACTTCGGTGATCTGCTGGGAACCGTGTCTTATCGATCAGTCCACTGCGGGACATTAACAGTATGTGTATTATTAATGTAATTACCCAAAATCTTCATTTATATATTCATAGTTTTTGAATTGATATGTATTAAACCATGATTTATATAGTATTTTTTGTTCTAGCCTCCATTTTGAGACAAAAAAAAAAAACTGAATTTGGTTGTACTATAATAAGATGCTAAGTTACTCCTTTCTTTTCCTTTTTTTTTTGAAAAGTTTTTCTAGTGATAACATGATTTTTTTTAATGTATTATTCTTCGCTTTAATAAATTCGTTTATTGTTATGTGTATTCGTTGCCTACCGATATAATATATAAATACTACAATAGTTCATTTGTTCCACCTATGTTATACTGGGCATTTTAAAGTATTGGTAAAATTAACCGAAATTCTGCAAGTTTTAATTCTTTATCACTTAATATGTATAGACTAAATCGAAGATTTAACATCTCCATGTATAAATTAGATACCGCCAAAATATATCAATAATTATCGAATCATGCGCATTTAGTTAAAGCATATTTTTAAAAATCATTTTAAATGTTCATACTGTGAAGAATAATGCAAAAATAAACATACATGAATATAAACATTTACTTAAAATACACAATTTTTGATACAATCTTGTTCATGTTCCCACTAATTAATAGAACAAAAAAGAAAAAAAATATTATTATTCATACTAGAATTTTAATTCTTATTGCCACATATTTGAAACACATTTGATGAAGAACGCAAATTTTCCTGTTAAAAATAAAAGTAGTGTTGACATAATTGTTGAAATTAGCTAAAAAAACATTTTCATGTGAATATTTATAAAAGGCAATTCAAATAAATTCATTAAGTTTTATTGTTTGAAAAGGCACATTGTAAACATTTTAAAATACCATCACAGCTTATTCATTGAAAAATTGTATATTTTTGTTATTTATTTCTGTGAGTTTTTAAAGAGTTGTTAAATTGTGGGATTTTTGTACTGCTAAAAATTTTAATTAAAAGTAAAAATAATAAAAATTTTTTAACCACTATTATAGTATTATGCAACTTAGATGTATTATTATTTAGCGATAAGTTAATTTTATTAATTATAGGATGATTAAAATTTATTTAAGTTAAAGGTTCTATTTATTGATTCAAATGCAACAAAAATCAAATAAAATTATTCTCATTTCAAAATGGAATGTAGATAAAAAAAAATGTTAAATTTAAACAAAAATCCTTATTAATATAATGAAAGAAATTTAGTTAAAAAAAATATGTAAATACTATACAGAAATAAGGAAGGAAAAAAAAACAATTTTTCAAATAAAATTTTGGAATTATTTAAAGACAAATTTTTTTATAAAACTGGAATGATCATTTCACAATCATGCAGTATTTAATAATCACTATAAAACAACTTTTCAAGATATAAAATGTAGAAAACTTTTCAAAGCCAATAAAATACCTACTTTTCGCAGATAAGTAATATTTCTAAACAAATATTTGTATTTTTACATATAAATATCAACACAGTATCAGATATACACAACAAAATCTATATTAAAATAATGAAATGAAATAAAAATAATAACTACAGGTAAAAAATTCATTAACGGTCACTAAAAAATCAATTTTAGAATTGTACAGAACTTAAAATGATTGTCATAATCTCTGGGATTCATATAAATTAAGACACTCTCAATATTTGGAAATACTGCTCCGACTTCAGATATCACGAAGAATGAATATTAGAATACTATATTGTTCCACTGCGTGTTAGAAAAGTTGGAATTCCAAAAATATCTTTGGTCTCTCCTTTGGAATGAAATCAAAGACACTTAAAGGTCTGTATACGATGCAAAATCGAAAAATATGAAACTTTATATTTCCTTGGCGCCAAATCAAACTGAATATCACAGAATTTGGTCTAATCCATATGCATGACGTCATTACCATGAAAAAAGAACGTTAGAATATGAGTATTTCTATTAGCAGCAATCTAAAAAAGAAAAAAAAAAAATGAATAAATTTAATTTCCAAAACATTAAAATCGTTATATGTCCTATAAAATATGCGAAATTTTAATATTTAAATATATATTCGTTTGGGCCTTAATATTTAGTTACTTTTTTCAAGAAATGATTGATTATGAAACAGTAAAGAGATAGTCTCAAAATCATTGCTTTAATTCGTTTTGATAGATAACACAGGTTTCTTACTATATATAAAAATTTAATGATGGTGTTGCAGTTTTCCATTGTTGTCAATACAATTTTATTGGCTGGAAAATCACATGGTAGGATCCAGTGTTCCCATATTAATTTTCATTTTGGTTTGGTTATCATCTGCATAAAATTGATATAAGTTATAAAGCTATTCGCGATCGCAACGCTCGAGTACGCCGTCTATAGCGGGAGCCTGTAAATATCAGACATTAATTTATCACGTTTTCATTTAGTTCCATCAAAGTCAAAGAACTTGAAAAAAATCTCCAGAATATTAGTAAATCTTTCAGGAACAGAACACGCCAAACATTTGAACTTCCCTAGCCCTTCTGTAAAAAATTNTTTTGGTTTGGTTATCATCTGCATAAAATTGATATAAGTTATAAAGCTATTGTTTTCCTATAAATATTTTTGTTTCCCTAATTTAAAGGTCAAAATTACCTATACTGTTATTATTACGTTTTTGATTTTGTTTGATTTCTAAATTAAAAGTTTAAAAGGATTGTTTTTATTATTATTAGAATAGTGTAATTCTACGTTACATTTTAAGATAAAGTTACTTCAATCGGTGTCTGATCTTATTAACAGTTTTGTAATTATTATTTTTTGATGCAAATGACGTTAACATATTATTAATAATGACGGTGAAAGAGATTAGTTAAATGATTGAAAACTTAACTTTCAACTTCATGCACAAAGTGATGAATGCAAAAATTGTATTTAAAATTTACATTCGTCCGTTTGGTAAGCAAAAATATTAAATTGCAGTTGTGACTTCCCAAAATTCGTTATAACAATATACTTTTAATATTAAATGTTATTTAAAAAAATTATTACTTAGAAAAATGATTTATGTTCATTTATAGATCCTAATAGTGTCATAAGAGAAATATTTGGAAGAGGGAAATGGAGGCACAAGTCTCTTTTTAGTACAGTAGAGAACCGATAATCCGGAACGATCGGGACTATCGCTATTCCGGATAACTGATTTTTTCGGTTTTCTGAATCGCTACAAAAAGCCGTTTTTTTATTGTTAAACCCAACTGAAAAAAAAAAAATTTTTGGAAATAATCTTAAAAATAAGAAAAAACGATAAGGTAATACACTAATGATTATTTCTGAAATGATAGTAAGGTAAACATCTTTCAAAAAAGAAAGAAAAATCCTAAAACCTTATGAGGAAAAAAATTTTTTTTTTTAAAAGTTGCGGGAAAATTTATCGAATTTCGTTCCGGTTTTTTGGTTTTCCGGTTTTCTGATTTCCGGATAATGGGTTCTGTACTGTACATATATTTTTAGTTGAATAATTTCAACTGTTTTATGCCAATTATTGCGAAGCAATCATCGGGATTGGTGAGCTCCCCTGTTTAATAATAAATAATAAACTAAAAATATCATTCTTCGAAAGAAAAGAAAATGTGTAGGTTTAGGAACAAAACTGATTTCAGAATTCTAGTCCCCGCATCCGAATTAGGCATTAAGTATTTGCATAACTGTAATTAGTCAGTTTCCCACTGTAGATATACCAACTTGCTTCGCTTTGTAAAAAACTATTTTCTAATGGTAGCGAAATTAAATAATTTTAGTTGATTAAGTTTTATTGTAATTTATCTACCACTACATATCAAAAATTCAAAGAATTATATAAAATGCAACTTTATTGTAGTTATCTCGTGGTCACACTTTAAAAAAGCTGGCGTAATTATTCTTTTTCTACAAGTTTTAAAATTTAATTTGCTACCAATTTTTTAAAACTTTTGCAGAAAGTGGTTGTTGACATCCCTGCCAATGTAATGAGCCAATATCGCTTTCACACTGAACCCGATATTATTTCTTTAATGCTGTTTTTCGAGGCTCTGTCTCCAAAGGAAATAAACAGCCTTTAACATCTAAGGAATGACACAAGAATGTTCAAAATATATTTTTCAATAATTAAAACAAGTTTTTCTTTCCATTAGCAATATGCATTCTTTAATAACCTTGAACTATTTCGCGAATCTATTATTTAAGTTCTGATGAATGAAAGCATTTTGCTGAACCACCAGGAAATTCTACGACATTCTTTTCATATATCGACTTTTCTTTTTTAAGTGCTGCGAGGAAGGAAAAATAACTTCTTTAATAATTGTCAACATTTTATAGTTCAATACTTATTTTTTATTTCAGCCTTCTTTTGAATGCATTTATGTTTAGTTGTTACCATAAATATCCGAAATGGGTGGTTGTTGATTTCCACTGGTGAATGTTCGCCATCACATAGTCGCTTTGGTATATGTCCGAAATATATACTAGGTCTAATTAAGTGCCACTGCCCGGTATACGTTCGCCCTACATCAATGTTTTTTTAAGGTCCAACGCCCGGTATACATTTGACCGGTATGTCCTTCATCAAATTTTTTTAAGGTCCACTACTCAATATACATTTAACCGATACTCCGAACAGTGATGTTTCTCCTAATCTATCCTCATCAGATATTAAAATATCAAATAAATATAATAATATCAAAGAATAAATTAATATTAAATCGGATATAACAAATGCACTCTACAACAAAAAACACCGACTCACCAAGAAGGAGTTGTCTGATTGAAACGAAAATTGGTGGATAGGAAGACAATGTACAGAATAGTAAATGATTAAAATTTCAGAACAATTGAATAATTTATTGCGGAGTTACAGTAACAAGTCACACGGTGTGGCATAGACCGATAAAGCTCCCGGATGCGACTTTACACATTGTCGACTCCCGGGCACTTCTTTGGCACCGTATTTTGAAATTCGCCAATGTTACATTCGCCAAGTCGGGTTTCAAATTTTCTCGCGAAAATCTTCGAATATTAATTCGCGCATGTTTCACTTGCGACATACGATTTAAAAAACGCATGAGTGAACATGAGGTGTGAATAAATTTAGCTGCTTTAAAA